GAGCTCTTTGTGCATTTATCCTGTGGGTATAGTGGTGAACTTGTTTGTGCAGGCCTATGTGATATCTGAACGTGAACGGATTTGTCTTGGAAGCGATTCGCCAGTAACTCGAAGCATTCCTCTGTGTACTCCTTCCCGACTCGAACTGGAAACTTTCTAGTTGACAGCCGAAATTCCCATTGCCCGCGGGAACACCAACCAACTTTGCAGTACGTCCGTGAATCCGAACGGGATTTAAACAGTTGTTAGCCGTTACACAATATCTCAACGAAAAGAGAAACACGACTGTGCTCCAAGGTGGAATAAACTAGCTGAGAACAATCTGAAAATGAGCAGCCAGTAGGAGCTGAAATCCAACAGCAGTGATCCGATTTATATTTACATACGGAGTATTTAATAAAGTGTCATAATCTACTTCTAATTTCTTCCCAAACTGTAATTTTTATCCCGAAGGATGGCGGAACACATTATCCGACCTCTCTATGTAGCTTGACGTTCAGGCCATCCGTGTCTCAATCTTGCAACATCTGAACGACAAAGGACATACAATTGATACGGAGAATGTGTTCAACGCCATCTTAGGGCTATATATCCATGATACAGTTTCGGGACGAGGCGAGAGTCTTCTACTGCGGGCACCGGTAAGGATATCAATAAATTGGCGTACACACAAGAAAAAGTCTCATTTGGAACAGCACATCATACTTCCCACAAGCACGCAAGATGAGATGGTTCGCGCATTTTCTCTAGTTACGATTTTAAACACAGTTATTTGCTGTAGCCGCCTCGTTCATTTTGACCATTGTGAGAAACCGCCAATCACAAACTTTTATGCAACCCAAACATACTACTGGCAAATTTCAATAGTATCTCACACCATTAGTAACGCTTGGGAATCGAAACAAAGGTTTCTCGCTCCAATCGTAGTTATAGAAATCGGGAACTTGATGTGAATTTTGGTGTTATGATCGCCTTGAGAAACAGCCACCTCATTTCTATCATGGCCAATTGTCTTCCGGTTGCCTTTCATAATCCATTAATCGATTGGTTTTCGAAGACCCCGTATCACTACAGTCTGTTCCTTCTGTTGACTCCTTAGCCACTTATCCCCCCCCCAAAAAAAAGAAAACTTATTCTTATGAATTTCTCTATTGCAATCTCTGAGGTTATTGTCATACTACGTCGGATGACTTTCACACATGCTCATCATAAGCCAGTACCAGGGTAGAACCGTTTCATTTACGAACTATACTTGTGAATGATTGATACAGATTTTCACAGACTAGTTTATCTGCGATAACAGAAATCGTTTCGTTGCAATCATACGAATTACTCAAAGCAAGATCCTCATCCTACTTATTTTATTGTGGAATCCCAAATGCGGGACACGAGCGGCGGCTGGTGATTAGGAAGCATTCAGAACAAATATTTTTATGTCTATGAATGTATAGAGTAGGTATATTTAAATTGTAAACAATACTTTATACACAGCTAATAAAGATTACTCATTCGGATTAACCATTTGTGGGATACACACACACACACGGGCACACAGCCAACGTCTTTGTGACAATACACTGCTCGAGAACGCACGCACGCGCGCACACACACACACACACGCAAACGCAAATACATACACCAACTATGTTCAACAGCTGAGAGAATCAGAGTTTTCCACAGACGAACAAACGAACAAAAACGAGTTCGGTTCAAGAGTGAGTGTTTTGAGGGCCATGTGGAAGGAAAACACAAGCGATATGAGTTTGGATTCCGCGTGAAACGCGAGATAAACCGATGAAAACAATACAGACTGTAAGGTAAAGAGACCTGGGGATACGTTTTGGGGATGGGGTGGGGTGGGTTGGGGTGTGTGGGGGGGATGAATCGGTGGGAAGTACATGATAGGACGAAATAAAGCAAGCAACAATAAGGGCTTGGCAACCAAACTGGCTGTTGCTGGGGTCGATTGCACACAGAGCGAGATCTTTTGAGAGTGGCTGATGGACTTTGTACACAGGAAGCGAGCATTTTGATAAGTGCGTCGAACGAAGGGAGAAAAGGAATCCATTGATCCATAAGTGAATTGATTTTAATGTCAGTGGAAGCCCGATAAGGAAATTCAGTCTGTTGCGGGGAAGATTTCGTGTCTGAAGTGAGACAGATGGTTTTTTTAATCAAAAATCCATTGATATCTTACATTATTATTGCATTAAGGCCTAGACATTCACATTGCAACTTCCCTCACTTGAGTGGTGTCCGTATCAAAGGACAGTTGGGGAGACGATTGGACCTGAAGGTACTGGTTGTGTATCGTAGATGGGTTTTCGTCGGAAAAATCCACATCGCCATAAACCGAAAATAATTCCGGCCAGCAGGGCAGCGCCCAGAATGCATCCTAAAATAATCGGCCAGAGGGGAATTTCTCGGAATGCAGGTACCTTGATCCCGTGAAATACAAAGTTTTGCGATATAGCCAACGGTTGAATCGAGCGATTGCCATGTACGGGTATCCCGAATGCATGCTCAGCCAACTCCGACTGGGCTTCGCTGACAATAGCCAGATCGGGTATTTTGTAGCGAAAGAAGGTGTCAGCCCATACATGACCGCGCAAAACGATGCGCACTGCATCACCCCTCGAAAGCGAGTCAATTCGACAGTATATCTGAAAAAATAATTTCACATTTGCGCTTTAACTACTAGTAGAATTATAGTAGTATAACATGAGAGACAAAATCAGATAAAATAGTCCATAGTCGTACTGCAAACGCAGTCAATTTTGTAATTTTACCAACCGATTCATAATACTAGAAGCTAGTTCTGAGATGAGTGAGGTTGTATGCTGCCAAAATTCTCAAAGATGTAAAAATAGTTGAAAAATGGTTGAATCAACTTCACGCATGCATGCAGTATGCTGTGGTCCTCAAATAAAATGATGGAAACAACCGATGGAGTGGACAATCATTTCCGGCAATCGAACATTATTGTTGCTTCAAACCGTCTTCCTACCTCGGTATTCCGGGCATCCAATGCGTAGGATGGTGATTCATAACAGCCACAGTTTTCGTCTTTTATATATCTACTAGAAATTATCTAGTCCCTATCGATTAAGGAAAGCACTAAATTCTTTTTAATTTTCTTTCTTCAACTACTATTGTATTATTTATAAAAATAAGACGAAAAATGCATATTTTGAATTCCTGCATTGTATATACAAACATATAGTGAAATTTCAATCATACACTGCTACTCAAATTAATGTGCTTTCATTTTCCAATACTGATTGATACTGAATGTGGAAAGATTTTGATGAAATCCCAAGTCGATAGGGTAGGAAAAGTAGTAAGGGAAGATACAATAAGTGGCGAGAGAGAGCTCCAGTTTTTAAGATCTGCCTCCGCACGCTACAGGTATTCCGAGTGCCTATAGTTAACAAAATGATTTTATCCGGCGAAAGTAGTTAAAAAAATACACCCGAGGATAGTAAGTAGGGGATAAATCCGTGGGGACGACATGAAGGAATACAATCCCATGCCCGCAGTAAAACCAGGGCATGTATGAAAGCCAAACGTTGATTCATGTCCAAGCCAATTGTGATTTTACCATTGATAATATAAAGTGAATAAAATGAAATGAAGGTAAAATAAAATGACATGGATAACTGTGCTATCGGATTTTTTCGCGAATACATTTGCATGCTCCTGTGGATGAACTTATTGGTCATTATCCGAACCAATCTCTGAACACCCCGTTGCATGACTGAAAACTGGGACGATCGGGTACACAACTAGGTACACAACTCGCCGAAACAAATAACGTCAAGAACGTGACTGGGGTATTCTGACCTCTGTTTAGGCTGTGCGATCGACTACCAGGCTAGGCTTGTTATCGTAGACGAGCGGTAGGGAATCGTTCGTAAAATCCCTCTGATTACCCCAAAACAATTTAGTTGGAGGCTGTAGCTCTCACCCCAACTCACATCCGGAGTAATCTTGAGGACCGGGCGAATAAACAAACAAATACCAATTTTTTGTTTCGCAGATTTGGAGTTTTTATGTCAAGAATGTGAAAAGCTCAGTAGCCTCGGTGGTATTCAAACCCAAGCAGTCAGCTTACATGCTTACTGATGGATGCCAGATGCCACATGTTTCTGTAAATTGGATGGGTAATTCGAATGTGAAAAGATCAGTGTGTTATCGGTGTGCTCTTGCGGCTCAGCCGGTAGAGCGTGCGCTGTACAAAAGTGCGGACGGCGTCCATGTGTCGGTTCGAATTCCACCGAACTTTTCACAATCTCGACATAAAAATATTGATCACATACTGAATTTCTTCGTAGATCACAAGCATACTGCTCATTTGACAACCAGGCATCCAATAGACCCTTGGACCTTTTGTCTGTAAACGGAATAAAACAACCCAGATGTGCAAACTTGTGATAAGCGTTGCACCTCACTGATCTGAGCATTGGCCTCCAGTTATGATTCGCTGAAAAGCATCGCAAACGTGACTACTTATTACATAAGAGTGTGCAGAATTTGGTACCATTAGAAATGGATTATCCACCGGGATGAAAAAGGTGTCCAGTGTCCTTCGTTAGCCATTATAAACGAAATGCTATCGTATTTAAAAACGGACAGTTTATCGATTTATTCAAAGCAGCTTCATGCACCTAAGCTCACCGTTAACCTCAACCATTTGGTGGGTTCGAATCCTATTGCAATTCTGGTGAAAACATGTACTGCCGGTAATTCCGAACAAGAATGAAACTACTGTACAGGCTTTTCAGTATTGAGTAAAAGATGGACTCGGTTTCACGAAATACACTCGTAAACCTGGTTAGTGCCACGTGAAACTGTGTTCTAACTTGTTGGAAAAATGATGGGCACTTTGTAGCTTGACAAGTCCATGTTTTTATGCACGCTACAGGAAGCGCATTGAGAAAAACAATCCAGGCCACTTTGTTGTTTACGATTTCACTCGGTCTCATGCGCATCTTCACACTCTCGCTACCGTACCGCCTAGGACGGACGCATGTATGCCAAAAATGAATCACCAAAGTCCCGTTGTTTGTGCAACCGCCCGTGTTCGTTTGCTTTCCTGATAGGCCTAACTCGTTCGTCCGTCCGTCCGTCCGTCCGTACTACCAACATATACACCCCGCACGTGAAATCACTTCTCATTAATCAACCGATCATCTAACCTGTTGCGCTGGCAGAGAAAGTCCCATGTGGCGTCCGAATACCGCGCTTAACCTTTGTATATTTTTTCTCGGTTGCCAAGTATTTAGTTTCTCATCCATTTCGGTTTATGATACTCCCGCTGATGTGCCCGTTTGTGTGCGTGTGTATGCTTGCGCGCGCACGCGTGCGATCCGGCAATGTAATAATAAGTCAACACGAAGTGGGTGCCAATCTGCCCGGGGCAAAAAATGAAATCCAGCATGAATCGGCTAGTCAGGGAAAAAATACGTACGAACCACGAATAGTCAGTCAGTTGGTCGTTCGTCTGTTGGTCCGGTGAACCGAACTTCGCACACAAACCAGTCATAGTGCCACTAGCATGACGTGGTGCTGCTGAGCGCTCTGCGTGCGTGTGTGTATGTGTGTGTAAACACACAAGGCAATCGATATAAACACACACACACACCCGGACTTACCGTGATCTGTAGAGTGCAACCACATGCCAAGCTGCTGTGTTTTGGTCATTGTTTGTGGTATAACCCGCCCATACATCCTTTCCCCAATCGCCCCCATCGGCAGCCGCATGAATGAATAGTATTGCAAACGATCTAGTCAAACCCTTCATGAAATTGATCTGATCGAGCGATATTGTCGACGCCAGATCAACGAGAGATGATTGCAACACGTGTCGTTTGTGTGAATACAAAACGGACGCACTGCCCAAAAAGATATTTTGTCAGTATGGATCACACTTAAAAGATGCTTTGTGTTTTTCGTATTCTTTTGTTTTTTAATCTACTGTTTCGTAACATTTTTTTTCGCGCAACGCTTCAAAATGTTGAGATAGATGAAGAAACACGGGCTGATCGAACTAGGTTGCCTTCGACCGGTAGCGTGTGTACAGATCGGAAGAAAGGTGGGATAGCAAGTGTAAGTGCTTTGCCACTGGTTGGAATGGGCCTGCTAGAAACAATGGATGGTTGTTTGCCAGCTAAATGACAATATATTTCGCACTCCATTTTTGCAGAAAGTTTTGTATGAAAATCATTGTTGGTAAACCCCGAGATTTCTATGGTCAGGTTGAGGAAACAAAAGAATGGCTCAGCTATTGAGGTTCACCCGATACTCATAGAACTGAACTGCATTTTTTTCAAATCTTCACTACATTTCTATGCGAGTGACACATTGAATAGAAGACCAGTGCAACTGATCCGTCTGCTCGGAATACTATTAACTCATTATTGCTGAATGTCCATGCAACAAGCAACATGATCGGGTACAGACAGCCGGTACGTCAGCCATCGAAAGTCTCGGTTCCATCCGGATGACTCAACGCCTGATCCCCAGTCCTGAACATGCTGCAATAGAGTGCTCTTACGACCACCCTATGAAAAGAGTATTTTCATTTCATTTAAACTGACTGCGTCCGGAGTGAATAACTGGGTCTGTTGGATACGTGCATGAGAGTTCAACTGACCAGCCACGCTCAGCAAAGTCTAGTCATCGCAAATCATCCAGCCGACTTGATTATCAGGCTTCATTTGTCCAAAATGTAATACCTTTATTTAACTTGCTAACACGCACACACACACCAAAAGAAAGAAACCGAGCTTCGATTTAGAAATGCGAAAAATAGAAACGAGCACTTTTCATATAGTGCTGATAAATCTGTGCATATATGACGTTATATATGGTTGACATTTTAACCGGCAAATGAAGGTTACCGTCTTGATGGGTCAGATAGGACTCCTATCTTGTGGGTTCGTAAAGTCGATCACAATTTCAAACGTTCAAGTGGTTGCGTACGTGCAAAAGAAGATAGAGCAGGCAAAGGAAGTTCACGTTCACGTTCACGTTCTGTTCNGTTCTGTTCAGTTCTTACAACAATGAACCATGCACTTTCGTGCGCCGGTTTTGGTTGCTGTCCTTAGGTTGCCCCGTTCGGATAAAAAACAGCAGGATAATTATTAGAATGTGAGAACAGTAGATTCAAGCGGACGATATTGCATTTCCATAGACTGAATTTACAAGAGTAATGAGTATATGCATGAGCGCTATGGTTTGTGACACCTAACCATATCGCTCAGTGTTTCCCACCATCGGTGATCATGATCTTGAGGCCCCCCAGCCAGGGAGCCTAACGGGATCTATGTGGGCCAGTCTCCTGGTCAGGGTTTTCATACCCTCATGC